TCACCTCTCGGCCTTTCCAGGCTATTAAAGGCCCTCTCTGAAAATGGTCCTGTGCAATCGTTGTAAAAGACAAGCGAGTTCTTTCCCCAGCAAGGTGGCAGGGAAAGCTTGCCCCAGGGAATGCCAGAAACAGCTCCAGGATCCCAGAGGCGTCGGAATGCAGGTGGTTTTGTCACACTGACAAAGTCTCTGAGCTGTTCAGAAATCGGGATTTTCGCACACAAGGCTCCCTCACAGTTACGTGGGATCGGAATGCACATATGCACATTGAACTCCTGTGACCCAAAGCCAGCCAACCCCACTGCCATCGGATCAGTTCCGACTCATAGCAACACCTATGAAGGGCTTTTACAAAAATCTTTGGAAAAACTCCATTATCTTTTCATTCCATTTTTCCACCAATGTTTTGAAGTCCCTTCATAGTATGTGCCGGCCACTACCCCAGGCCTTTCCACATAACATGTCTCCACTCTTCAAGACTGAGAAAATCAAGAGCCGTGTGAACTGGGACCAGACTGCCAGGCCCAAGGCCCACTGCCATCTGAAGGACCCAGCAGGGACGGCTGCCCTTCAGTTGGATAGAAAAGTGCCTGCCAGCCTTCCCTGTAGTTTTGAACGTTGTGAGCCTCTGGCGTGCTGTCGAGGAGCACTGGGAGTGCTGCGGGGGAGGCGGCTGCTAGCTGCGTGCTCCGTGGTTCAGACCACGGCTCCTCGAGACCCTCTGCTCCTGTAACACGGACGGCATTAGCAGCCCCCAGAGCGGCCCTCCTCTGCCTCCGAGGCTGCCTCTGGGCCATGGGTCTGGCCTTCCTGTGTCTTCTCCTAGCCACATTCTGCTCGCCTGACCACAAATTGGCATCAGCCTCGGTTTTCTCCTTGCCATTGGAATAGGATTTCATAATATATGCTTTTCACACGAGCAGTCCTAATGAAATGTACTCTTAGATTGGCCACACAGGGCTTCTCTGAGCAGAGGAGAACTAAGGTCACCAGCAATCTTATTGTTAGTATTCTCCAAAGCAGCACTGCCTATCTGTTGTCTGAGCTGTGAGTTTGGGCTCTGGTGATTTCCCGAAGCTAGGGCCCCTCACTGCGCACAGCAGCTCACTGAGGAAGGGACCGGAGAGCTCTTGACATCTGTTCACTGATAATCTTTGCAGACTGATTGTTATCCAAACTAGCACCACGAGCAAGTTGCAAAAGGAGCGTGCAATTTTGCTTTTTGTCTTGGGCCTTTAGTTTTGAACTCAAGCTTCAAATTGGTCTTTAAAAAAAAAAGAAAGAAAAGGCAAAGAACTGTGTGAGCGCGTTATCTATTTCGTGAGGGTTTATCTGATAAAAGTGAGTCAATCCACCTTAAAGATTATCTCATCACACTTGCCTTCTCTGCCCTAAACAGTAAACACCAAGAGCTCTGAGACCAGATTTGGCTAAAGAAATACGCACGATCACCAACATTCCAGAGGTGAACAAGCAGCCAACACTGAGCCTGGCTCAGTTACTAAAGCCAGTGACAGGTGGCAGTGGGGGTCAGAGAGAAAGCAAGCGTGTGCTCCTAAGAAGCCTCTGGGGTGGGGGTGGGGGGAGCTCTCACGGGACTAGCGCCAAGTTAGCACCCAGCAATCCAAGGTCTGAGCGATGCTTTCCTGCTGCTCCTTCACCCTGGGTCTCTCTCTCTCTCTGTGTAACCAACCGGCCCATCATCAGCCTCTTCTGCTTCACAAACCAAGGTCATAGTCAGTGGGCGGGAGATGGACTCAGATCTCAGAGCTGAGTCTAGATCTGTACTCCACCAGCAACCACTAATGAATCCTGTTTTTTTTCAGCCACAAACCACCAACAGTGGACCACAAAAAATGGTGTCTGCATGCAGGCCAGGGGCAAAGTAGCAGCCAGGCCCTAGCTATGCCTGAGATGCTCAAGGCGGCCACGTGATCAGGGCAGTGAGTGTAGTGTTTCCGTGCTATGTAAAGGCAGGCCAAGTGGCCTGACTGTTTCGTATCCTTGATGTCATGCTCATAGGTCACAGAAAGAAAGGAGGGTTAACCAGCTCCTAACGGGCATAATTATCTCCCCTAGAGAGAATGGACCTTTAGCTGGAAATAGTTGGAATAAATCCCATAACAGGGTTACTTCAATCCAAGATTAGAAATAGCCCGGTAAGCATAGATTGGCTAGATTTTTCTCTCTGTTGTTGGCCCAAGTGCTGTAACATCTCTCACCACCTATAGGGCATCAAGAGAAAGGAAGGAGAGTCCCTGTTTAGAAATGCCTCCCAAGAAAAAGTAAAAGTGTGAGTTCTGAGGATTGGAAGGCAAAATTCACGTCTCGCAGAAGCCTGAAAGAGATTGTTCCAGAGATGACTTGTGAAAGTTTAGAATGTTGTGGCCTGAAGGTACACCTGTTGACGCCGTGTTGTGGTCTGAAGGTACACCTGTTGACGCCGTGTTGTGGTCTGAAGGTACACCTGTTGACGCCAGATGGCACTGAGACATTTGGCTGATCACCCTAAGGCAGGGATCCTCAAACTTTTTAAACAGGGGGCCAGTTCACTGTCCCTCAGACCTGTTGGAGGGCCGGACTATAGTTTTTTAAAAAAACTATGAACAAATTCCTATGCACACTGCACATATCTTATTTTGAAGTAAAAAACAAATGGGGCAAAAACACCCGGCGGGCCGGATAGATGTCCTCTGTGGGCCGCACGTGGCCCGCGAGCCGTAGTATGAGGACGCCTGCTCTAAGGTATGTGTACCGCCCTGGTGGTGGGGTTCCCTCCTAGGTCTGCCTGTCGTTTGATTGGAAGCGGACCCCGGCAGTGAACTCGTTTCCAGGTTGTAAGGTCTCTGTGCTCTCTTGTGTCCTTGATGTCGTGCTCATGGGTCACAGAGAGAAAGGAGAGTTAGCCAGGGCTATGGCTTCAGGGGCTCCACTAGCCTCTTCCAGAGACTGCTGATAATCGGTTACTTTTGAATTTCGATTTACGTGTTCCTCCCTTACTGCCCAGGACCTTCTGTTGTCACCCACTCATGTCATCGCAGTCAGCAGGGTAGCGCACTAGTTCTTCTGGTCTCAAGCTAGTGGTTCGGATTAGTCCTTTGGAGCAATTGTGTCCTAGCATCTTTGACCTTCATTGCTCTTCTTGGCTCTTGATGAGAGAGACCAGTAGTTAGTTGCAACTGAGATGAGTGCTCACAGGGTTTTTAAGGTCATAGTCACTATTCTCCAAAGTAGGACGTAGAACCTTGCCTTTTGGGGCTATGTTATGCAGTTTACCTACCTGCCCCCCAAGGAATTGGGTTATGGCTAAGACGTTCTCATAACTCTGGTCTCTGTGCGCTGTGGTGTACATGGGTGTGTTTGCAACACATGCAGACGCATCTGTGGAAGCACCCTCCGCGCACCTCCACGGACTTGTGGGTGTACTCCTATTCACCATTCCACACCCATTCAGCTCACGTCTGTGCCTATGTATCCGCTCGGGGATTCCTGTTGGCTCTTCCTGTTGCTGCCAGATTGTGTACCTAATAATATTTACCTTTGTGTCCTTTACCTTCCTTTGCCTTGGCCCCCCCTCATTGTGGACTGCCTTTCCCTTCACCCCATAAATAACTGCTTGCGATCTGGTCAGTGGTTTCCCCCTCCAGGAACATCCCATTTACAGGAACAGAGCAGCCCCTGGTGCCCTGCAGCAGTGTGGGGCAGTGAGAGAATGTCCAGCTGTGGCTGATTGCCCTGGGTGAGAAATGAAATGAGGAGAATCCCACTGTTCAGTGCCTGGCCAGCCCCGCAGTCTGGCGAGGGAAGCTTGAACCCACATTGACACCTCTCAGTCTCGCGAGAGTGTGTCCTGCCACCTCTTGCCTGCTCGCCTTTTCACAGACGCAGGCCATTCTGAAGAAAACGTCTTGTCGCGTGTGTGTGACCACAACTCACAGTAAGAAATATTTCGTTCGCAAGAACCAAGTACAGTAAATGCTGTAGCACGTACAGTCCTGTAATAACTGTAAAAGCCACAAGACGTGTGATTCCCATCGCTGCTCTGGGGCCTTGGCTATTCTTGAAATGCCCTATTTACGTTACAGATCACCTCTCATAATACTGCCTGTGAAGGAGCCTGGTGGCCCAAGGCATTTAGCACCCCGCAGTGGACCAGGGAGAAAGACGAGGCAGGTGGGTCAGTAAGATTGGCACTCTCCGACACCCTGTGGAGCAGCTCAGGGCAGCACGGGGCTAGTACTGCCCATTGGAGTAACCCGTGTGGCAGTATGGGAGACGTCGGTGTGCGCAGATACAGGATTTGTGGTCAAGGAAAGCTCAGCTTGGTCTTGCCCAGGTGCATGGCTCTACCACCTTGCCCTGGCTGCGACCCCAGGCCGAGCGCCACTTCACTTTTGCACACAGACACTGCTGCCTGCAGAAATGGTGGGGGGAGGGGGGAGATCTTTGTCAAACAGGATCTTAGCAAATGTTGTAGCTGTGAAGAGATAAGCATGCCTCAAAGAAGTTCTCTCTGTGATAAGAACTAAAAGTGCATTTTCCGCCTCTGTGTCTGCCAGCATCAAGAATAGCCATTCAGGATTGCAGGTAACCATGTGTGCGTGGAAGCAGGATTTTCTTGGGTTACTCAGGAATCAGACTGCACAGCCCTGCCGGAATGTGGGGCTGCCGTGTCCCCCCAGGACCAGGCGGATCCTGGCATGCCAACTGAGCTCTTGGAACTCCCATTTCCTCACCTAGAGTATTGAAGTGAGATTAAACATATATATTGACTACGTCTAGTGAAACTGGAACACTAAGACATAGCAAGTACTCACAAATGGTATTCGCCCTACTTTTTTAAGCAGCAGGTCACACGCCACAGTGAACTTTGGTTAAGTTTTACGTAGATTTGACCCTTCTCCCAGTGACTCTTTGGACCGTCCCGCATGAGCCACGGCCGGAGCTGCCCCCGGGAGCCGTGCTGTTAACGTCTTGATTGGTTTGGTTTCTGTTCCCAGGTGGCCCGGCTCATGGAGATGGGATTTTCCAGAGGGGATGCTCTGGAAGCCCTGCGAGCATCAAACAACGACCTGAACATGGCGACCAACTTCCTGCTGCAGCACTGAGGGTCCAGGCCCCCAAACAGGGACGAGCTGGGCGTGACCCTGCTTCTGAGGTGGCCGGAGGACCCCGTGCCAGGGTGGTGATGCTCCCCACCCCCTCTAACTCCAAGATTGTTATAGCCAGACTACCACAAATCAGCTTGCCATTAAATTAGCACGTATTTTCTATCTTTATTTTTCTACTGGGTATTTTCCTGAGCTGGGAGAATCATCCCTCTTCCCTCCTGTGTTGTTGAAAATGCATTGAAGTGGCCAGATTCTGCAGCAGCTTAAAGGGCACTCCAGATGGGAAGGGCCCGCTGTTGTGACCTCATTCTTTTGACTGCAGTGCGCCATCCCCGCCTAGGGTTTGATTGGCATGTAGTGCTCCAATGAGGGGAAGGGAGGTGGTTATTTCAGAAAGGGGAGTGTACTCGGTCTGGGCTTTCCCAATCGCTTTTGTTTTCTTTGAAAATGTGTTTGCAACCCCGCTGTCAGCCCAGTGTGCCCTCCCCTGTGAGCTGGGCAGCAGACCTCAGTGAGGGGGAGAAGCAAGACACGGGATTCTGTTCCTCTGTGTCCCCGCTCCTCCTCACTGCCAGTAGAAAAACAACAGTCTCCAAGCACCCACTTGAGCTTCTGGAAGACTCCGTGAAACTTAACTGGGATTAATTTTGCTCAGAATACCCAGAGCTAGCCTTCTCGGCTAACAAGGTTAAAAGCGGGGTGAAGAGCAGGCCAAGACAAGAGTGAGTCCTGAACACTGTGCGGTCCTGACCAGAGAGCTCTCAGGTTGGCCCAGGGTGACTGGACCCCTGTACACAGGAAGAGGAAGCCCCTTACTTGGTGTTTTCGCCTGGCTCCCATCCCAGCGGCTACAGGCGGACCTGCCTGTCCCTCTGGAAGCTGGCTCTGCCAGGTTCCCTGGGGCCTGGGCAGCGTGGCCGTGCGGGAGGGGAAGAGGAAGAGGCAGGAGATAGGCTGAAATGAGCATGAAGATTTACAGCACGTTGATTTTGATGACTTAAGAAACTTGTGCCACTGTTAGGTTCTACAGAATGAGCAGAAATGTGTCAAATTGATGCAAATTTAGATGTGTGCTGCAATAAAGTTTTTAACGTGTTTTACTTTTTAGCTTTTTTTGTTTGTTTGTTTAGCCCCATCTAAATAATTTTCTTTTAAATTGTGTTCTTTGCCACAAAAAAGAAAAAAGAACGAAAATTGCCAGCCTACTTCTCTTCCTTGGAAGATTTGGGCATGTTTCGTTTTGTGAGAAGCATCTGTGGACGGGACCCAGAGCACCATCAGGTCAGCAGTCCTACGGCTCCACTCCCCAGGCTGGTTGAGGCCAGAGAGCCACTAAGAATGGGCGCTCAGGCAACTTTGTGGGAGCCCAGCTGCTCTGAAAGCACACGCCCCTGACTTGACCTGCAGATGAGTTTCTCCACCCCGCGTTCTAAGAGGAATGCGTGGGATTGGAGCCGTCCTTGTCCTACGTCACTGTCCAAGGGTGTGATAAGGAGCGCCTGGGATTGCCTCTGAGAGCCATTGAAATCCATCCTCTGCACTTCCTGATGCAGAGGGCCAAAGGGCACAACTCCCACCCCAATGCACCCATCCTATGGTCCTTGCCATCCACCTCCACCAGCACAGAAGCTAAGTCAGAGTCCAAAGCCACACTGGACTCTGAGCCATTCCAAGAGCTGGCTCCTAGAGGGTGGGAGCGGAGGCCTCACTGAGTGTTACTGTTCACGGTACAAAGTAAAGAGTTCTTGTTCGTTTTCTAATCAGGATTTCCTTCTAAATGTGGTAACATTTCTGAGATCCTTGCCCTTTGGGAAAGAACCTCGGTGACCCTCCAGTGCAACAGTGAGTTGACTTCAAAGTGTGGAAAGCTGAGACGGAGGTAGCGACAATAGGGACAGGACTGGGAGGCCACCTCAGGTTGTTCATGACTTCCTTCTGCCTCTTCCTCGGTTCTCACAGCTGCAGCGCCCTCTCCTTCCCGGATACAACATGGTATTCACCGTCCTCCTCAGACACCCACCAGTCCACTGTTCACACGTGCACACTGCGGTTCCCATCCTGCCCCTCTTCTGTCCCTGTGACATGGAGCCAAGCACACAGCACCCACTGCAGGGTTTTGAGCACCTGAGAACACCCACAGTTCTTGCCAAGACACCCAGAAGCCTTCCAGGCTGGCAGACCCCCTAAAGGAAATTGTCATGCTCCACACACAGTGGTGTCAGCCAGAGAGCTCTCTGGTTCAGTGTGCGCGGGCCCCACCCAGAGATAGCGTGCGGGTTCTGAGCTTGCTGAGTGGAGTCTCCGCCTCAAGACCAGCTCACTGCCACCGACTTGGTGCCAGCGCACAGCGACCCTTAAGACCGGGCGGAGCTGCCCCTGTGGCCTCCAAGACTAGCTCTACACTGGAGTAAAATGCTCTGTCTCTCCTGCGGGGCCACTGGTGGTTTCGACAAACTGCTGCCCTTGTGGATTGCAGCCCAACTTGGACCCACTCCACCACCAGCCTGGTCTTTAGCGATCGAGTTAGATTTCAGAAGAGGAAGTAGGCGTGGATGTTTGGTGAACCCCTCCTCCCTTCCCAGGTAAAGCTTGTTAGGAAATTGAAAATATGAAAACATTTCAGTATCACTTAGAATGCTTCCTTAGAGTCCCTGAGCTTATAATATGTATGTTTCGCAGTTATTCTTAAAGTCGAATTGGAAACATCAAAACCGTAGACGACATGTTTACTTTGTTTTAGCCAGAAAGACTCATTCAACTCACGGCCATCCATGATTCCAACTCATAGCGACCCTTTAAGACAGGGTCGAACTGCCCCTATGGGTTTCTGAGACATCTTTTTCCCAAGGAGGGGCCGGTGGTTTCGAACTGCTAGCCTGTGGTTAGCAGCCCAACTCGTAACCCACTATGCCGCCACGGCTCCTTTGAACCAGATGGGAGTCTTTAATTTTGTGAGAACGAAAAGGCTATGTTCTTCACTTCACCATCCGAGCCCCGTGTTGGATTTGGTGTTTTCAAAGGGTTGGTCAGAATCGCCGGAATCTTGAGTGCGCCCACCTGCCGGACGGACGGACACAGCAGTGTCTCTCCAGTGGTTGTGTTGGCTAGTGCTACTAATCGGGATTCAGGCACACGGAATGGGGCGGCGGGGGCATGCTTTCTGGAGACCATGGGGCCACAGTGAGTGCTGGGGGGCTGGGGGAGATCGCCCTCAGCCCAGGAAGAGGAGGAAAAAGAGATGGAACAGCAAGGTCCATCTTGCTCCAACCTTCAGAATTGCCCGGCAGGCAGTTCTCACTTCCTCACACCCCACACGCTCCCCAGACCCTCCCCGACCATCCTGTCACCTTGGGTGGCCCGGGCTCCCTAATGACAGTGCTGGAAGAGTGACCCTGAGGGACAGGACACTGCAGAGAAATACCCTCTCACTGCATCAAACTGGGCCTCTCCAAACGACTGACGTCTACAGAAGCCACAGCCAGCTCGCTGTCCCCAGCACTGCTCCCCGCTTCACACATTTATGAGAAACTTCAAACCAAAACCAAACGCGTGGCCTTGGAGCTGATTCTGACCTATGGCGACCTTAAATGACGGTTAGAACTGCCCCTGTGGGTTTCCCAGACTAACTCTACAGGAGTTAAAGCCGCCTCTCTCCAGAGGAGTGGCTGGTGGGTTCGAACTACTGGCCCTTCAGGTAGCAGCCTAACTGGTAACCACTGCACCACCAGGGTTGCTTATGAGAAACTACTTAACCTACACATAAGACGTGTTTTCCTAACACAAGGATCCCTGGTGGTGCACCTGTTTACGCATTGGGCTGCTAACTGCCGTATCAGTGATTCAAATATCCCAGCTACTCAGTGGGTGAAAGAGGAGCTGGCTGTTCCCCTTTAAGATTCACACTTGGAACCCCAATGGAGCATCTGCCGTGTCCTGTAGGGGCTGTGTAAGTCGGAATGGACTTGACAGAGGAGGTGGGGTGTGCTTCCTAACCCCACGAGCCTGTGCGGACCGTGGTGACTCGGTGCCTTCGAGATTGGCCTTTGCAGTGGTGTCCGGCTAAATGGGAGACTAGATCTGACATCAGCTAAAAGGGGCTTTGTAAACCCTTCATCTTCTTGACCCAGGACAGACCTTAGGACACGTGCTACCTCAGGCATAAAGGTGATGGGTGTCCACATGCTCACAGCGCTCACATGAGATTGGGCGTGGCAATCACAAGGAATGAGGGAAGGTCGCTGTCACTCATGCCCTGTGTCCTTGTTGGGCTGTAAGAGGTGGAGGTGATAGAAGCCTGCAGAGACGGTGGGTGCAGGGAGGGCCCTCGTGTTGTGGCAGGACACAGGATCAGAATCCCTGCGTGCCCTTCGTCAGGTGGGGTCCCCTCTGCCTCTCCCACTGTTTGTGCTTTGCTCGTCACAGAGGGAGAAGCCAGGCCCAGGAGTCCACTAGGATTGCCTGTCCCCGGTGTCAGCCTTTTGCTATTTTGGCAGTTCTGTATATGATATAATGCTCAACAGAAATCTTGTTTTGTACCTGAACATTTTCCAGCCTGGTAATATCTATGCCGCTCTTGTAAACCGTGTATACTGTAACTTAGTGACAGACCCCAGTGTTTCCAAGGAACAAAACTGCCAGGATTGTGGAAGTCTTTTTGCAGAGGAGGCAGAAGTATGGAAGTGTGTGTGTGTGTGTGTGTGTGTGTGTGTGTGTGTGTGTTCTATTTA